TTTTTTTTTTTTATCATTTTTTTTGATTCCGGTAATCTGTTGCTGGTACTAAACTAGGGAGAAAGGATATAAAACTTAGGAGTAAAAACTAGGTCTATTAAAGCGCTCACAGGTTCATGGCGTTAACCCAGAGATCTAAACCATGGTCTCTAGAGATTCAAATCACATTTTAAAATACAATATAGGGTTACTAAAACAAAGGACTACAAAACAAGGAACTTACACACACGGGTCTAAAAGCCAGGAGTCTTTAAAGAGGATTAAACTAGGGAGAGGTCGGGCAGATATGATACAAGGACCTAAACAGGCAATAGAAGATAAACATAAGGTAGTTCCTCCACTCTGGGCGACATTTGTTGATCCGGACTAACATCATGTTTGAAGCCTCGGTTTGTGCAAGTGTAAACGCTATTTGATATAATTTTTCATGGGTTCGGAATGTAAACACTTCTAGAGGGGAATATAACACATCCCGACGTGTCCCTATCCGACTCCGGTACCTTAACGCGCGCCATGAACCTTGGGCACACTATGTATTGACTTCAGTTTGGATCGGCAAAGGAACATGGGCAGGGTTTTGTTGTGCTTAGGTTGGCTTTGTTCTACCCACGCTTGACCGCTCCGCTAACGCAGACATCGAAAACCCTAATGGAGCGCCTCTGGAAAAGGATACACATAAGCGACTTTCCGTTTCTTATCTTCGTGTTTTTTTCTGGAAGCGGTGCACCTCCATGAAAAAGAGATTGTAGCATCTCAAACAGTTTGGAATTATCAGAACGTTCAAGACTTCGCAGGGACATTATGAGCCCGCCTCAGCACGGAACCCATAAGAAAGAACGCTTACAGAGTATTTCTTTCTCATTATGGATAAACACAACGAATCTATATAGATTCATCTAGAAAGTTTTCAGTAACGGTATTTTGCCTTATCATATCACACACTTGATCGTTCATAGATTTTCTATTTAAATGAAAGAAGTACATTTACTGTACGTAAATGTTTCATTAATTTATTAATTTACCTCAGGATAATTGAACCGCATAAAGCTATATAAGATAGACAGGAGGACACCCACCTGGGGAACCAACTTCCTATGACTCAACGCTTATGGTTGCTGATTGAACGGGAGAAAGTCGAAGTCGATCTGTGAGTTGAACCTCGAAAGAATCGACCATCCGAAAAGATCCGCTTCATTCGAAGGGACGTTAGAGTTCAGAAGATCCACATAAAACAAAGTGTTATTAATTTGCTAGTAGGTTAGACCATAGTTGTGGAAAGGCAAGTTACAATAACTAGGCGCTTAAACACATAGGAGATCGCTATGAACCGCAAGTGAACATGTTTACTTATTATGTGCACTTGGAAGATCGCAGTTTTCTATGGCAACATCACAACTACGAACAATGTTTTCTCTTTTTTACCTTTTTAGTTATAGTATATTGTGCTGTGCTCTCATTTAATAAGTTTATTTGAGAGGACAATTTTAAATAGTAAAATTTACTCATGATGAGATGTGATGTGGTGTTATCAGTATTGTCTTGATGAGTACCATTGAAATCTCGCTTACCATTGTCGTCATTGGTGGTGTGATATATTGTGTCTTCTTCGAACCATATAGGATTTTCCTGTTCTTGGTGTTTCCCAGAGTATATTCCCATTTGGTATTGAGCTCCTGAAATGAGTCAATTTCAGAGGAAACAGTGAAAGAATAGAAATTTTAAGATTATTTTAATGCACTTGGCTGCACAGTTCAATTTGCCGTCTTTTTGAACACCCAAATACACAACAATACTGCCCATGTCTTATGTCTTTTTGAGGTCGGCTTTTCGGCATAGAAACGTCTAGTGGAACATATCGTGCCCGGTGTCTGGCGGCGCTTAGGTACAAAAGGTGCGAATGTTCCTAGTTACAATTGCGGGTGTGATTCACGTGAACGATGCAAAATCTCTATTCTTCCTGGAATTTCGCGACAAAGCACGCTTCTCATTCGGACCCCGGCTCCAGGGCCCCACGGCATCAGCATTCACGCGCTGCACAGGATAGTGCTGCTTTAAGGAATGCAGGCTGTGTGTTTGGATTATGTTTTCAGAATTAGCCGCTGTCGGCCTCCTCTTCTGTACAATTACAGTCTGAATCTTCGACTTTTGCGGATTGTTGATAACAAGGTCTTACACTGGTCATGCACACCCAACTACCAATCCTGGAGGTTGCAGGGCGACTAGCAAGAAAAGTACAATAGCGGGAGCACAGGGAGATTCTTAAGAGTCTCGACGGATGTTGCGAGGCGCAGCGTTTCATCCGATTTCAAAAAAATCCATATTTGTCTTTATTCTTCACTACCAGTAGCTCTCCCCCTTTCTCTTGCCTCTCTAGGTATCTCCTTTTCAATACTTTTCTTTTCCTTCAATACCTTGAAGAATTTATTTTCTTTAGCTTCATACTTTTCGTCTTTTCTTTGTCTCCTTCAGATGTATATTTATTCTATTATAAACTACTGTCTATTACCACTTTCATAACCAATTTATCCACACTTGTACATTCTCTGCTATTTTTTCCCTCCCTCCTCATCAATCTTCGCTCGTGTTTTGGGTCTCTACCCTCTCTCATCTATTATCTTTTGGTGACACTCGGTTCACTCCTCTCATCTCTCTGCGTCTTTCTCTCCTCAACCACAAAGCTTCATTGGACACACCATTACAACAACTTTAGTCTGGGTGAAAGTGTGAACTAGAGATACGTGTCAGAGGCTGCGCAGGAGACTTTATATAAATGACTCAACATTCCATTATTTTTTTTAGTGAACTATGTTATGTTTTGAGAAGTCCTAATATCACATTTCCAAAATTATTTAGGGTGTGAACTTGTATGTGGAATAAATAGGGGTGCATGAAGGGATGGCTTTAATTTAGGTTTGTCACGAGCCCGAAGGTACGGCGCACTAGTTGACACTTATTATTTGGGAGGAGTAGAATGATGACGCCACGTAACGCTGCTATAACTTTTATTTTGTATGCTTTGAAAGCGTTTGTTTTTTTGTCATAAGGGTTTCTTTCTTCTCCATTGGTTCCGATGGTGATTTACCTGAAAGTTAGTCGGGGACCCAAACATTGGGGTGCGCCGCAGGTCGGAGCAAACGTGGGTGAAGACATTTCTTCAAAGTTCCCTCTCGTACCGGAGCCAGAAAGCACTGACAACTTTTGTTTCTACAGGAGTGGAGAATGATGAAAGTGGAGACACGAGACGAGGTGTTTTTTGGCTTCCCGTGGTCGCTCTCCTTCCCTTGTTTCGGACAGCGGAACAAACAAAAAAAAAGCCGGAAGTTTTCGATTGAAACAAAATAAGTGGATAAGTGAGAAAGATGTTAGTCAAATGGTGGGATTTTTGATCTTAAAGAGTTGGTGGTATGAGGACGAGGTGCCTCCCAGATTCCGTGACTCACAGACGCTCTCATCTTAACAACATGATGTTATTCCGCATAACTATCTTTTAAGTGCAGAATAGTGAACTCGTTGTTTTGCGGTTGTTTTCGATAACCGCTGTAGGTGGATGAATGCGCTTTGGGGCCATTCAGACTGAGTGCACTGTCAAAAGATCAGATATGTTAATCGGTTTCAAAGGAACATATTCAAGTGTCCTGGGTGCATTTTAAAAATACTTTTTCGGATTTGGGTGTCGTTTCAGCGACTGGTCATTACAAAGATCAGATACAGGGTACAATAGAAGAAAAAATTGGTTTTGGGTCACTTCAGGCTCAGTCTGAACGCAGCCTTGTAAAACTTAATGAACTGGGGGACAAATACAGGAACAAACAGGAGGCAGTTTATCCATTGGACCTGAGACGTGGTTCGACCTACGCATGACACATGCTAATTTGAGTATACATAATGGTGACTAATGTACAATGTTGTTGGAGATGTGGCCTCTTATATTCTTTCAAAACATTTAGCCAGTGTGATGAATGGGTTTTTCCTTTACAAAGAAATGAGATAGCAAGAAGCCCAAGCCTCTCTCCGCCCGGCGTCCACTCCACACCGTCCACACTGCATATACAAACCACCGCGGAGCAACACCAAACACACAACATCCAGTCCGCCGCGTCCAAAAGACGCTCCATGACGCTGGACGGACAACTCACTGCCAAAAGCACAGCTCCACTGCACACCAATGAGCCATCGTCCGCGGAGGGCAGGTGTGAACACGGGCCACAGAACCGACAGGAGTTTGCTTGGGCAGACATGGAACAGGGATTAGACATGTGCTTTAGCGCAAGATTAGCAGGTTATTAGAGTACAATAATCGGTGAGTAACTGTATTCGTTTTACCTTAGTTACTGTTTCCAGCTCTTGAGTGTGGCTCAATTTGGATTACAGTTACGTTGGTTGACACATAATTATGGTCATTACACAGAGGTATTCTGTTCTGTTTCTCACATTTCTATGGGGCTAACAGGCAGCAACTAACGTTCAGTTGAACTCAAAATTTTCCAGGACTAGGAACAGGACTAACAGAACTAGAAGAGGACTTAAACCAGGTCAAACCAGGGTCTAAAAACAGGTCAAAAGCCAGGTCTAAACCAGCGCACGCAAACCAGGTTAAACTTGCAGGACTTAACCAGGATAAACATAGACTAAACCAGGATAAAGCAGGCTCAAAACTCAGAGGCACTAAACCAGGACTAAAACAAGACTAAACCAGGAAGACAGGACTAAACTAGACTAAACCAGGCTAAACCAGGTTAACCAGGACTAAACAGGTCTCTCTTCTATCAATAATATTTTTTAAATTTGGTTCAGTAAAGTCCGGGATTTTCTATTTTTCACTTGTATCAGACGAGTAGACACTGTTAGGTGGTGAAGATCTATCCGAGTCTTTTGGTTTCTCTACAGAGTAAATCTAGGACTTCCCCTGGGATGCGAAATCCACTCTCAAAAAAACTGTTGGAGGTACCTGAGGTCGTTATACTATAGTCAGTTAGTTTACTGAAAGGTTAGGCTTTTAAAAGGGTGGAGTATTCTTTTACCCTACCAGATGTCGCTCAGATTACACCACCACCAATGCTTCAGTTTTGTAATGGAATCCATAAAGTTACTTTAAGTGAGTAACGTAATCTTGAAACTTTGGATTACTTGATATTGTGGATGCTTTTTAAACATCGACTATCAACGAAATGACAAACACACCACTCCTAAAATTCTATCGTTGTTTGCTGTAGATTGCTAGCAAACTAGGATTCTTAACCCAAGATGTTTTGTCTGTGACTTCAACTTAGAATAAAAAACGCACAGAGCTTTTCTTCGGCCTTTACCCAGATTATCAAAAATTATTATTGATAGAGGAAAGTTTTATCTAGATGAGATGCTTGCTTTAAATTGTGTTCAGCCTACTGTTAGCTGTCTATGGGCTGGGCGATATGGATCCAAGAAAATTATCTCGTGATACTTCTTTCGATATCTAACTTCTACGACTATCATGTTTCAGAAAAATAAACCACGTAAAACTGAAAACTGGCAAAAACAAATTCTGCCCCAATTCCACTAGGGTTCCTTTTTTTTTTTACTGAAGTGTAAGAGGTCGACAGTTCATACAGGAGATTTAAGAGCTGTCATAAAAAACTATTAACAGAAATACTAATTTAACTGTTTAAATAAAAGAAATAAACATATTTTCCTTTCGTCTTTCATTCATGAAATTAAACAACTCAAGAAAGCTCATCTTTGCATTAATCTGGTTAAAACAAGAACCAGAACCATGAGCTCTTTGGGAGTTAGAAGAAAGCTCGGGAGGATGTCTCTTATTTTAACAGACTTACCAGTTTCCTCACCGGAGCATCAGGAGGCTCATGGGTTTCCACTCAAATCCACTGCAGGATCAATCAACGCCACGATTACATTTTCAAACAAAGTGTTGTAACAAGGGTGACAAGTTAGGTTACTAGGCGCAGGCCAGATAGATTGGCCATGGTTATGAAATGCTTCTGCATAAACAGGGGTGAAACTTTAAACATTGCGAAAAGCCCTTATAACAAGAATTTATTATCGGCCCTATGCATAACGACACGGTCAGAGCCACTATCAGCCCGTTTCGAGATTCACTACTGTCGTTAATTACATATATTATTGGATATTTCCATTTTTATTTATTACCGTTTAGTGGTTTTTTTTTTTTTTTGCAGCTTTGCTTTCACGAACTTGTCGAGGGTTGTAGGGCGCTATTTTAAACAGAAGGAACGGCTGCGAAACTTAAAAAGCGGCAATGGCTAATTTGGCATAAACAGCGCACTCGCACGTGCTGCTCTTGGCGGTTCAACTTCTTTTTGGGCCTTAAAGGCATGACTGGTGGAATGTGAGGATGCTGCTCTGATGGTTTTGTCTGTTAAATGGTGGAAAAGGTTCGTGGCGTAGAAGGCTTTTCACTGGCACCAAATTTTTTCTTGGGACGGGTCTTTTCAGAGAGAGTGAGTTGATGTTGGAAGAGTGAATAGTGAGTACTACGTAAGACGATTTTACAAATCAGAAGGTTTGTTTGTAGTGCGATTCGTTTAGAGTTGTTATGTTTGTTAGAAGGGTATAAATCAATCGATCATTGGCTAAATCGGGAATATATTTTGTAATTAGCCAAGATATACTCGATATAAATAATCTAATCGTTATAAGTGTTCTATGTGATTTGAATCTCATAATCAAACGAAGCTATTTTAACTTTAATTTCATTTAGAGAATCTAGGGTCTTTAGTGCAAATAGGCAGTGCGAAGTTTTTTATAGTCCAGAAGGGATGCTCCTGAGTCGCTAGATAGGCTTGTCTCATGGAGTTGTTTTATGACGCTGGTTAGTTGGTTTAGGATGGGTTTTAGTATCTAAGGAATTTCGAACTGGTTTAGTCCTCTCGATTTTAGTATTCTTGGTTTTAGATCTGCGTCTAGACTTGGTTCTATGGCCCTTGATATTTGTCCTGTTTGTGTCCTGTTGCTTCTCTAGGTACCTGATTTCCTTCTCAGTGCCAGGGTCATTACACCTCTGTGGTAGGTTTTGTCTTGGGGGTTTTGTCCTGGTTTTCGGGCCAATGACCGGCCATACTTGTGTATCCATTTATTGTACCACGAGTCGATTTTGTCAGACAAATTTCCTACCTCTGGGTCAACAGTAAAGAGGTTTCAAAATGGGAAATGAAACCTGGGAATAATCTGAGATCTGATCCATCCATGGGAAAGGCTATGTGTAGATAGAGTGACAATTAGGAACTGTCTGTTTAAAAGGGTAATAAGTACGTCGTTTTCGGATACTGCCAGAATTTGCTTCAAGGCACGGTTGTATTAATACTGCTCTTTTCCACTTGCTGCTGGTTTGCTTAGTGTGATTTTGTCATAGTTCAGTCAATAACCTGAGTTAGATGAATCTGAAGCATAGGTACAATAGTATCTCAGCTGCACTGTAACGTTTGCTGTTATTTTTCTTCTTTCGTTCTTTGAATTGTTTTATCACGCTGCTCTGGATCCTTGGTTTCGCTCCTTTGAGTTGTGTTACTCATCCTCGTCATCTCATTCTTCTTCTCTTCTTGTATCTCCCTCCTCCTATCTGCTCTTGTCCCTTGCAATCCACGTGATATAACTCTACTTGTACAGTGGCTTTCTCCTCCCTTTCGATCTTTTTGACTGTGTGCACCCCCATTCGCGGTGTGGCTTTCTTGGTTTTATTGGCGCGGTTCTGCTCATTTTTGGGATTTGCGGTGACGCCGTTGTACTTATCTCTTGGCTTGTTTGTGTTATACGATACGCTGTTGCATCTTGTAATGTTATTTTCTATGTTTTTTTTGGCGTTATGTTATCTAGTAAAATCGAATCTAAATCTGGGTTTTTGCTTGGTCTTAAATTCATACTAGATTGACTCGTTATTTATTCCACTTTGGTTTATCTTATATACACTATCTGGTCCTTTGTTTTGTGGTGTGGTGTTCGGTTTGGCTACTGGCTCTCTTTTGCTTTTTATATTCACAATCTTAGCTTTCTTATTGTTGACTCCGACATTTATCGACATCCCATCTATGTGAAGTGAGTATTTTGTCTTCGCTTAATATTGTTACTTATTGTTGATTTCTGTCTTCTGATCTTTATCTTGTTGAGCAGCCAACTACCTTTGCTTCTTTCCTCTTCATCTTCTTCTTGTTTGTTATTGGCATTCATATCGTATGGCCGCCTGTGGACTATCCAATAATAGTCTGTCAGAGTTTCTCTTTCTACTTATCGGAGTACATGTTTCTAAGACTCTTCTCTGGGTGCTTTTTATGCCTATACTTTATTTGAATATGCTGGTTTGTTTTTAATTTTTTAGACTTATTTTGTTGCCTACTGGATGGGTTGGGCTAACCCTTCCTTATCTCTCAGGGGTTCCATACTGTATTACTTTTTTTTTTTGTTGGTTTTTTCTTATTTTTTTTTTCTGTGTTAAGGATTAGGCCTGCGCCTTTTGTTTGTATATATGTGTGGGGTTCAAAAATGGGACATAATAGTTTCTGTCTGCTTATCTTCTGACTTTTTTTGGAGTTCGTTTGGCACATCGAGTTTCTGTTGTTCTTATTTTTTAATTTCATTTTTAACTGTTTATTGCTGTGTTTCTGTTTTTTTCTTGTTTTGAATTGCAGTCTTTGTGTTAGTTGCAGCGAGCTATGCTCATTTTTAGCTCTCATTATATACTCTTTGTCTTTCCGAAATGAGGTTGCTTGATCTTCATTCTTGCGCCACTGTAAGAACGGCAGTTGCTTTTTTTCTTTTTTAAAATTCTCTATTACCTATGGTTTTTAAACATATTCTAATTGCTTTGTTCCTTTTTCCTTCTTTTTTATCTCTAATAAAATCCTTTTTTTTTTTTCCGGTGTTTTTGGCAAAACCCTCAGTCTTTGGGTTTCCTTTTTTTTTTTTTTTTCTGTTCTTTCTCTTTCTTCGTTGTTAAGGTTTGTTAAACTTCTTCTGTGTGAACTTATTTTTTTTTTTTTTTTTTTTTATTTTTTGTTCTTGTGAAAAGTCCTAACGTATATTGCTCCGGAAGGGCACTGGAGGCTTCAGGGAAAGGGCGGGCACAGGTGAGTTGCAATGCATCCTGTCACATCAATGTGGCATTGTATATGGACTTTGTTAATAATGTAAATAGTTCTGTACATAATGTGTTTATTTCATGGACATTTTTTTCCAGATATAAAAAAAAAAAAGTGGAAAGAAGTGAAGGAAATGCATTCAGGTGGGATATTTTTTTCCCCTATTTGTGTATTGTTTTCATTATGTGAAATTTCAATAAACATTTGTCCAAAATAACTTTCTTTGCTCCATTCTCCCATGTTCATCAGCAGTTGCCAACCAAAATATAAATTGATGTACACTGGGTGTTTTTTTGTTTTGTTTTTTTTTTAAACTGCACTACAGGATGTTGCTAGACTGTCGGCACCATAGCCTTTCTGGTCAGCACAAATGAAAAGACTAGCTAGTACTGTACTAGCACTTGCGATACATTTTGGCTGCAGTATTTTCAGAAGTGTGAGGAAATTTGGCATGAGAACCAAACCTGAAAATTCAGCCATTTGAACTTATACACGTGTAGCAGTTAAGGATCTATTATTTGAATGGGGTCAAAGAGTAATTTCTGTCTTTGAGCACATGATCATTGAAGAGGAGTTCACTTGTCAAAATTATAAACTTAACAAGGCCTTCGAAATACAAGTGCTTCTAAATTCTTTTTGGTAATATAGGTGCTATAAGCTCTTAGCCCACAAGATGTCACAGTTGTGCTGCGCTACAGTAGAAAACTGGTTTGTGCCTGTTCCACTGCAGTTACAAGCTAATTCTGCCCATTTTGCAGCTTGGGGCTACTTTGTTATGAGGAAATGTGCGTGATTACAATAAAATTTAATTACACAACTTTATTCTGCACCAACAAGTGGTTTATTTAAAATGCAATTTAAAACAATGTTTCCATACATGACACATCCTTTTCGTTTGGGGAAGCGTGTGTAACAAAAAAAGAATTAAGATTATTTTAAATGCAAGCACTAAACAGCCGTGCCCCTCTCCAAGTTCTGTTTGATTTCTGCTGTGTATTTGCCATAGAAGCGCTCAGCCTTCTTGTTGAACTTGGCATTCCTCTCGTTAATGTAATCAATGTCAGCATCGTCGTTATGGGCCCTGCGTCGACTGTACTTGGATCTTTTCTCAATCCTGTAACAAGAGCACTTTGTGAGTATGGCATTAAAACAACTAAATATGCCAAAGCTCTTAAATTCGGTAGAGTCCTTGGCAAGTTTGCACACAGATGATCACATAACATCACAAGGTATGATACAAAGACGCTATGAAGTAGAATGACCCATTTTTCTTTCCAATTTATGTAATTAATATCTCTCTCACTTTTAAATTTTATGATGATTATGTTTTGATTTGTTTTTATTGTAACTTTAATGTATTTCTTATTCTGTAAAGCACAATTCGTACACAAAGTAATTCAAATAAACTTGCCATGCTTACTTCAGACAAACAACAGCAATTAAAGCAGATAATTTGGAGCACATTCAGTCCAAGGTGAACATAATGTATAATAAATATTGCAGATGATTCTTCTACTTACTGTTTTTCAACATCTTCCACCATGCGATCAATGCCCTCTTTAGTGGGAACGTGAGTACCATGGATCAAGCTGTCAGATGTGGGGTGAAAGTCCTCACCGCTACAGAGAACAAATAAGCAAGTAAAGAAGAAGCATTGCAAATTAGCATTTTAACCGTCTCATATTTGTTCTTTTATTCCATTGTGGAAACATTAGGATGATGTGACCCTAGAGCCAAATGTGTTGGCACATCCTCCACGGTACTTCATGTGGCTACTTTCAGGGGTTGGAAACATTAAACTGTTCTTTGACCTTAAAGTACTCCTATACATTCAAATCCGTAAACAAGATCTGAGGGGCCATGTCGACCTCAACCCCAAGGCCAAACACAGGGCGCCGTAAATAATATATAGAAAATTCTTTGTGCTCATGTGATTAGGAAATTCACAGATGATGAGGCAAAGTCAATTTTACTTTATGAGAGATTTCACAGCTACAACCACAAAGTCTTCAGGTATTATTTTATGGATTACTTAATGACATCTAATGAGCTAGTGGTGTTTGCATGGTCATATTACATATGTTCCAAACTTACCATTCTTCCCTTTGTTTCTCATAGTTGTTCATGTCTGGTCTGATCTGCTTTGTAAGCCTCTGATACTGTCGGAACTGTGCCTCAGCATAGCCTGCACAAATAAAAGCAAATAAAAAGGGACAATAGTTATACTGCAGTGCCATTATTAAAAGATTGATTCAACCTCGGCGCACCAACCTGCAAATCCTGGGTCTGGATTTTTCTTCTTCTTCTTCCTTTCCCATCGCTCTGCGTCATCAGCTGTGACTTCCAGGAGTTTGACTCGATCATAGTCTTCTCCTCTGGCAGCACATTCCTGTACAGATGTGTGTGAAATGTACCATTATCAACACAAAAAGTGATCACACAGGAAATAAATAGGCAGAATTGTTGTGGGTTTAGGATTATGGAATATTGTAGTCTGTGAAGTTTAAACAACAAAAGCAATAGCATCAATATTTTCAACATGATTCTAAACACAATGAGTCACCTTCTTTTTTTGGTCTTCGGTCAGCTCCCACTCCAGCCTTGCTTTCTTTGCCTCCCAGTTTGAAGGCAGTTTGAGCCTCTTGTCTTCTTCAACAACCTCCTGATGATTAAGTTTACGTGCTTCGTTCTGTAAACACGAAAAAACATTTGTACAACATAGCAAAAGCACGTTTGTCAAAAATGTAAAATATCTGAGCTCGTACTCGTTTGAAATGTAACTCTCTGAACTTTCGTAGCCTCTCTTCTCTTTTCTGAGATGCTGGAGTTTCGTTGGATCCTCCTTCAGATCCTGGAATAGAGGTCTGTAACGAAACCGTGTATTCCAGCATGTTATGATCATTACACGTACAAAACTGGGATGGAAAAGATTATGTTCTTCAAATACAACAGGCATTTGCTAACAGACATTAGCTTAGCACAACTACATCGTTTTACTACACAAATCGTATGATTGTATGATAAAAATAAAGTATAACGACAATACAAAAACAATAACAAATACAGTTCATTTCAACACTATAATAATCATAAATACTGAAACATAATTTTCAAAAGACGAAACAGAAATCCTTACCTCACTGTTTGACGCCATTGTTTTGCTACGTTCAGACAGACAGGAAGTGTGAGCCGGATATGACGAAAGGATTGAAAAAAAATAAAATAAAAATAAAACCGAATAAAACATAGTAATCAGTACATTTTGAATAAGCTAATGCATTGTAGAGACAGTTGTAAAAGAAAAGTAGACAAGACTTTTAAGACAAAAGGATAATGTTGTTTGACACTTCACAAATTGTTTAACACAGTGTTTCTAAAGCATTTGAAATTTAAAGTCCTAAATGAATAAATAGACAAATGAGAATGACCAAGAGTGAGACAGGAAGCAAGTATGAATATAACTGGAGGTTACAATGAGAGGCATGAAATGTTCAGCATAAGGACCTCAGTGTACCACACAGGGGCTCTGTTCAAATCCTCTTAAAGCCAATTGTAATGGTTGTTTTTCTTGAAAAGAAATAAACTGTACATGTATTGACACAGACCATGTTATTCTCACCCACCAACATGAGTTTGAAATAAAAAATATGATTCTAACATGCGATCACAAAACATAAACAGATTTAGAAGATTTCAACATGTCTGTTTGCCAAAATGGATGTTCCCTCTCTTTGATTGCATTATACTAATTGAGCTTGTGGAGGATGTAATTAAGTAGAGTTTATAGTCTTAGATTAAAGCATCCTCTAGATCACAGGCAATGTTAATGAAGTGATGCATTTTCACTTGAAACCAGATGGGAAGACATCACAACAACACAATACATCACTTACTGCACAGTAATTGGTATACTATGATTAGCAAACAAAAAGTATACTTCTCAAGTACGAGTTTACAAGTATAACGTTGGCTCTCATGGTCATCAAATAGAAAAATGTATTATAAAAATCTTCACAAATGCTTCATACTTTTCATACTTTAAATTTTATAGGTTTCACCTAAAGGTTTGCTTCCTAAAACTAGTTGAAATTTAGCCAAGTATAATAGGATTTTGGCTGACAGAGACATTTTTTGCCATAAGTCTAAAATCTATAAGGGCCATTTCACAAATACCAGCTGTTTGATTTCCGGACATATAGGTACATTTTGTAACAGTACACTGTGTTTGGTTTGAGCAGAGCGAATGGGTGTTAGATGAATTCTTTGCCAAAGCTTGTCTGGGATTGACAGGACTTTCATATGATATTGTGAAGATATACTTGATGTGCACTGAATGCCAAATTGGCTCGGTGACACCAAGCCCTCACTGTCAGGATGCTGTCACTGCTGTTTAAAGGCAACAAAGCTTTGGTCGAATATGACATGGAGCTCACAGTCAGTATGTTGAGGCCACCCAGGAATGCTGAACAACCATTCAATATTAACTTTTCCAGTCAGGCAAATCGGCCTGAAACTTTATATCTCCAAATAAATTGCACTTGAGGGACACATTCATTCAACGATTTGAGTTGGATAAGCATATCTCAAGAATCAAAATGGACACACATTTTTAATTAATACACTATTTACACAGATACTAGCTCTTATCTTACATGAACAAGGGGTCCATTAGCCAGAACATGGGGGGTTGAAACTCATACAGTGCTAGCAGCTGCTTCACATCTGGATATTTATATAAACATCATGGCCAATAAAATCATTCCATTTCCTTAATTACTATTCCTGTCATTTCCGCAGTAAATGAAAAGTTCTTAATTCAGGGCCAACACAAACATGGCTCTCCAATCTGAGGAGTTGGTGCTGAAGCGTCGCCACCCTGACTAGAGGCCGCTGTCACCCGAGTGGAACCACAGCTCCTGCCTGGGCTTAATGTGAGCATGTAGTGAACAGGAGCCAAGAGCTGCGCACAAATGGAACACAAGATGGCATCTTGTTTCCATCTCCTTCAGATTGTACCAAGACAGACAGGCAGGAGCCATCTTGTTTCATCTAAAACTTTCCTCTTCCCCCTCCCCTTCATGCCCCACTCTGTATTGTTTTGCTACTTTTTAGCGCACCCAGCCAGGCCACAAATTCCCATTTACAATTCTCTCTGTCATCTCATTTGGGTTTGCATGAGATGGCTCGAGATATAGTGTTGATAAGATATAGTAGTTTTCTGTGCAAAACAAATGAGGAATACACGCTGTTCTAAAAGCTTTAGGCTGAAATTTCACATTTCTTCTAGGGTCATATGTCATCAAACTCATTTTCAGCTACAAGTGCTCACATTGATGTAAGAATGACTGCAGTGAATACCGAGTTATAATGAGGCCAGAGGTCCGTGTAAAGAACTCTCTGTGTCTGATTGCCATTTAATGTGTGTCCTCATTGAGACTGATTTACCAATTAGGATGCCCCTGAAGGCAAAAGAAGTTTGAGAGAAACATTAGACAAGGTTACAGCAACTTTACTTTGCACTGGAAAACATTATAGGCCACAGGAGGAAGAGGATTTCTCACAGACATATACTTACACAAAAGATGCATGTATGCACTCCAATACCACCACTATTGTAGTCAATGCTTTTCCTCCACCACACACAATTAAAGTCCCAATTAAAGCCCATTATGGCTTTCCACCAGCAGCGACCACAGAGAGACTGTACATTGTGGGCACACAAATGTCTCTAGTGTTGTCATCCAAAATGATGAAATCTCCCTCAGTAACATTATGATCATAATTACTGATATCAAAATTAAAGTTTAGCAACAAAATAAAACTGCAATAAAAAGTTTGAGTGTTTCCAGTAGGGAGGATCTATGGCTGTTAACCACAAAAGGAGTTTAAAAAAGATCACTACTTAAAATATCCTACTCCTCTTCATTTAATTTTCTTTAAAAAAAAATTTAAAAAAAATTATATATATATATATATATATATAGAGAGAGAGAGAGAGAGAGGTTTTAAAATTTTTTTTTTTTTCTCATTCATTTCTTGTTGTAGCTTGTTTCTTCTGAATTCTGTTCCATTAGCCATCTGTTGGGGCCGATGAAGGACCTTGGATTTGAAGCATTTAACTTTGGAGGACCCTGTTTCCAAGGCAAGGTACCTCGGCTTTGTGTAACTAAACGTTGAGAAAGAAGCACAACGCACAAGGATCGATTTGCCACAAGAGGGAGACATTTCCCATAGTGTCTTCTCCATGTGACACTGCTATTCAATCTTATAAAATAATATTTCAAAAACCCATCTCATGCTCATTCTATTTGTGCAATTGTGTCTGTTTCCCACAGCCACAATCACCAATGGATTTGAGTTCTCACCACAGATTAAAGCACTGGCTTCTATATCAAGTGTGAAGCATCAGCTCACCACCATACCCACAGACAAGTTCAACCCCAGTGTGTTCCCTTGAGCAAGGCCCAAAAGTGTCATGGGTTTCCGCTCCCTGTTCCCATCCTTTACCCACTGACCTTAATGAGATAGTCAACTTCTCACTTGGCCAAACAATACTCTGTTGTACGGAGCTGCGATAAGAGGTGGCCAGTCTTCTGCCTCTGGACATGCAGCTGTATAGGCCAACAGTCTACCCTATCTCTTATAAGCCAGACACGCAAAAATATACTGCCAGATCAAATCACTTTACACAGACGCACAAATCAAAATGCATGCAAACTTAAAAAGTAAATCCATTCTCGCCCAATTTTTAGACTCTGAGAACGACCAATCCGTTTAGGGCTGAGCAGCAGTGGGCTCTTTCATCTTAGGTTCAAGGCGCCAATGATCTAATTTCCAATCTGATGATGATCAAACCAGCGCCAAATCTCTCCAACAAGTGTCGTCAACAACAACACCACTGTTAGAGCCTAAGTGATAAATGAGCCCTTTCTGTGGTCATTACAGAGTATGCTCAAAACTATTTAGAACTTTAAAGACTCTTTTATATTCATGAACAAACTTATTTTGAGGCGGAAAATGTCCAATTACTTATTTTGAAGGTGGAGTGTAGTTTCCCCTGGGAACAGTGTCAGAAGTAAAATTTGTGATGTGGGAAATGTATTACCACACAGAAGTTAGGTAACCGCAGAAGAATCATAGTTTATCATTTTATTTTGTGAGCAGCTAAATTATTGCCTTACACTGTAGATGGGATTTTAATATTGAATACTTCAGTATGAATATTAGCATTAACAACTCTAATATGAAATGGCTGGAGGAAACATCTTTGAAAATCTCTTCAAAGGAAACAAAAATAAACATAATAATTATACTCTATTGTAAGTAAAATATTCTTTCAATTAAAGCATTGTTATTTTGGGTTTCTAATAAAAAAGCGATGGGGAGTGATTCAGTTTAACCAAAGTTTCACCAAAACAGCTTAGATATAGTAAACATTAGTATCCGTGGAAGACATGACGAGTTAAAAATGGCAAGTTACTTCAGTATCCAAAGTGTTTAATGTTAAAATGAGTGTTTTCTGTGGCACGGGGCAAAAGTGACAGTTATTCCAGAAGGGGTGAACTATCCCGGCCAGTACATATCCGCTACTTTTGGGGTTTGTTTGAATGAATGAGGTGTTCCCCAAATGCGGCCTATAATGTGACAGTGTGGAAACTATTCTGCACCGATTTAAATTGAAGCTCCTTTTTAAAAACAACATGCGAGGAGAAGTGGAATTGCTACCCATGCACGAGAACACAGAAACATAGGAATGTAGACAAAGGGCAAATGACGTGTTGAGAAAAGAAAAGACGCCAGTGAACAAGCGGGAAGCACGTGTAAACAGCCCATGTCGAAACCAGATACGGGCCAATTCTAAAGGTAATATAGAGAGAAAATGTGTTTAGCAGAGTCCATTAAAACCAAAAGCCTCAGAGGGAATGCTTCGAGCCAGACGCAGGGCTCTGATGGAGGCAGTGTAGACAGTGTGAGCCCAGGTTGTCCTCGTGACTGATGGAGTGGGCTGGTCTCGGACTCCCCTGGCCCCACGCAAGTCTCTGTATGATGAAGTTAGAGAGGCATAGACACAGCAGAGAGGAGCTGCGCCCATCTCCTGTTGCTGCTCAATGTAATTTGGGATCGTGTTGCAGCGGAAGCACAACTGACAGAGGAGGAATCTATTGGATTCAGCTCAGACATCACAATAA